AACATTGTTCTAATATTGAAGCCTGTGTAGTTGCTGTTTTTGGTCTGTTATGTAAAGGAACTCTGGGATTTATTTATTTCATTTCCTTGAAAAAATCCAATTAAGCACCTATATATGCCAAGATGGAATAGTTGTAGATTATTACTGGATTTTCCTACTTTCCTGCTTTTTGAGAGATCAATTCCTAAATTATTTAATCAGTCCAAATTCCCACTGGCTGAATGACCAGAGTTCTAGTCCCACCTCTGGGTGTGTGTAACTTTGTGCACATGTGTATGAACATGTAGATACAAGTATATGTTTTTGGGTAATTATTATTCATAGAATCATAGAGCTGGAAGAGACCTCAGGAGGTCATCAAGTCCAGCCCCCGGCCCAAGGCAGGACCAATCCCAACTAAATCAACCCAGCCAGGGCTTTGTCAAGCCGAGACTTATTGGAAGTATGTGATTTGTTACAAAGTAGTGACTTGAATTCTTGTGCAGCTAGGACTAGTGGGACGTTGTTTCACCTCATATGGGGAGTGTGTGACACACAAAGTCTATGTGTGACCATGTCTGCTTCCAGCTAGATCCACCCAGAAGATAAGAGCTTACTGCTGCTACCAACTGAAGGATTAAGAATGGACAGAAGGATTTGGCTCTCAATGTGTACTTTTTAATATGCTCTTATGCCATCCTATCGCTTTAAACTTTGGCATTTGATACTGAGAGCAGAGAGAAGCTAGTATTTAAATACTTGTGAGCAGGGACTACCTCACTAGGCAATTTATTCCAGTGCTTAACCACCCTGACAAGAAGTTTTTCTTAATGTCCAGCCTGAACCTCACTTGCTGCAGTTTAAGCCCATTGCTTCTTATCCTGTCATCAGAGGCCAAGGAGAACAATTTTTCTCTCTCCTCCTTGTACTTGAAAGCTTCTATCATGTCCTCTCTGAGTCTTCTCTTTTGCAGACTAATACAACCCAGTTCTTTCAGTCTTTCCTCATAGCTCATGTTTTCTAGACCTTTAATTGTTCTTGTTGCTCTTCTCTGGACCTTCTCCAATTTCTCCACATCTTTCTTGAAATGCCGCACCTAGAACTGGTCACAATACTCCAATTGAGGCCTAATCAGTGGGAGTATTGCAGAAGAATTGCTTCTGTCTGGCTTACAACACTCCTCTTAATACATCCCAAAACGATGTTTGCTTTTTCTGCAACCGTGTCCCACTGTTGACTCCTATTTAGCTTGCGGTCCACTCTGACTCCTAAATCCCTTTCTGCAGTTCTCCTTCATAGACTGTCATTACCCAGTTTGTATGGGTGCAACTGATTACCCCTTTCTGAGTGGAGTACTTTGCATGTGTTCTTATTGAATTTTATCCTGTTTACTTCAGACCATTTCTCCAGTTTGTTCAGATCAGTTTGAATTCTGACCCTATCCTCCAAAGGACTTGCAAGCCCTCCCAGCTTGGGATCATCTGCAAACTTTATAAGCGTACTCTCTATGCCATCATCTAAATCGTTGATGAAGATATTGAGCAGAACAGGACCTGGAACTGATCCCTTTGAAGCCCCTCATTATGCCCTGCCAGCATAACTGCGGACCACGGGTAACTGCCTTCTGAGAACGTTTATCCAACCAGTTACACACCCACCTTAGAGTAGCCCCAGCTAGTTTGTATTTCCCTACTTTATTCATGAGAAGGTCATGTGGGACCATACCCAAAGACCTACTAAAGTCTAGAGCAGAGGCGGGCAAACTACGCCCATGGGTCAGATCTGGCCCACTGGACCTTTCCGTCTGGATCGTCTCTGGCCCCTCTCCGTCTGCACCCCACCCCTGCATCCTCAGCTTCCCCAGCACCTGGGCAGCATGCTCCCTGTACCACCAGCCCTGATGCTCTGAGTGGCATTGCTTCAACACCACCTGCCCCAGTGCTCCAAGAGGCATAGTCAGGGGTGGGGGAGCAGTGGTGTCTGGAGGGAGGTGTGGGGCAGGGAGCTGGGGTGTGTGGATAGGAGGTGGGGGGGGGTCCCAGGGAGATGGTCAGGGGATGGAAAGCAGGGGGGTTGGATAGCAAGTGGGAAACCGGGCGGGAGGGACAGTCAGGGGCCAGGGAGCAAAGGGATTAATCCAATCCTGGATATGGTGACCCATCTGGAAACTTGCCATAACTCACTGGAAAACTCTGTCACTATTGCTGAGTGCTTAACGAGATTCCCTGTGAGCTGAGCTGGGGAAGGGTATATGGATCCTAGGAACGTAGGTGTGGGTCTGTGTCCTATCCTGGGTTGCCATGGCTTTGTTCCAATAGGGTTGTAGCCCTAACACAGGAATCGATTCAGGGAAGTCCCCTGGCTTGTGTTGTACAGGAGGTCCAACTAGATGGTCATAGCAGTTTCAGTCAGTGTGAGATGGAGCTGGAAGAGAGAGCCCCACATAGCTGGGTCACTGCTCCGAAGATCAATCTTCCGGCATTCGATTTAGTGGGTCTTGTAAGGCCCTGTTAAATCAAACACCGAGGGTGCCCTCATTGGTGCCGGTACTCCTACTCCTCGTGAGGAGTATGGGAAATCGGCAGGAGCATTTCTCCTGTCAACCTCCCACAGTGGGGATGCTGCCACAGTTTGAATCAAGGTACATTGTTGACTCCAGCTATGCAGTTAATGTGGTTGGAGTTGTGTCTCTTGATTCAAACTTATCCCTAAGGGTGTGTCTAGACTACCGAGTTTTGTCGACAAAAGTGGACTTTTGTCGACAAAACTATACCAGCGTCTACACTACCGCTGAGTTCTGTCGACATAATGTCGACAGAACTCAGCAGTTTTGTCGACACTGGTATACCTCATTTTACGAGGCAAAACACCTTCTGTCGACAGAGTTCTGTCGACAGAAGGTGTTATTGCCTGTAGGGTTGCGTCCAGACTATGGGGTTCTGTCGACAAAGCAGCTTGCTTTGTCGACAGAACTCAATGTGTCTGGACGCTCTTTGTCGACAGAAGTTTTGTCGACAGTATCTGTCGACAAAACTTCCGTCGACAAAACGCGGTAGTCTAGACGTACCCTTAGTGTAGACCTGGCCTTAGTCTGATTGACAGAGACGCTCTGTGATAGACAGAACCTTTGACACTTGCTCAGTAATGCCTCCAAAGGACTTCAGGATTGTAGCCTGGATACCAGAATCGCATCCTTTCGCAAGTCAAAATGGGGCACTGAGTGGAGTTTAGATAATTAATGGAAGCATCAGGCCTGCCCTGGGGCCTGAAAATGAAATGGACCAGGGCTCCCAGGCACTGCTACTGCAGCAGTGGCAGCAGCAGGTGCCCCGGGCCCTTTAAATCACCGCTGGAGCCCCAGGCAGCTCGCTCCGGGTGGCACTAAGGGCTGGCTGCAGTCCAGGCAACACTGAGGGCCCCCCAGCCCTGCCCCTTCCCCCAAAGCCCCACCCCTTTCGGGAGCACAGAGCCATGTCCCTCCCATCACCTTGCCCAGATGCCCAGCAATTCTGTCAGCCCCCCTGGGAAGCGGAATGTGTGAACTGTACAAGAATTTACCTCAGAAAAAATTGCGTAAGAACAGTACAAAGTCAGAACCTACCAGTGGGAGCTCTTTGTCTAGAGCCGCTGTCAGTAGAGCAAATTCCCTGATAAGAAACTCCAAATGTAACCGGCCAGTGCTGGTGCCTCGAGGGTTAACGCTGAGATATGCAAACCATTTTGTTCCCAAGAATGCTGGTTTTTAATCAGCCTATGAGACCCACTACAAAGGGACTTTTTAAGTTTTTCATGAAGCTTAGTGGTCACCGTTAACTCCTACGCTTGCTTATTTCAAGCTGCATCGGAGGAGTTGTTTTATTATTGTTTTTTTTTTTTCCATTTGGATTTAAAAGATTAGAATGGGGGGCGGGGAGCTTGCTGCTCGGCTCACATGCCTCTCCTCATGCTGGCATATCAATTATAATAACATCCTGCCTGGGTCTGTATTGAACCCGTTAGACTAATAACGAAAGGGCTGCAGAGGACAAGAGACACAAGGATAAATCTATGCAATGAGGCCGCTGCTTTCCATTATTCGCTCCCTCTCCGAAGCAGAGATCTGGGGGAATGAATTATAAAATGGAACCTCAACTCACTCAACATGTTGAATCCCACTTCCCTGCCAGCAGCCCATGCCAGTCCCTGCCTGTAACGAGGAAGTAGGTTCATAGACGTGCTCTTTTGCCATAATGGAGTGTGAGGTTTTGGTAGGTCCAGTTTGGAGGGGGCATGTGTTATGTATTTCTTTAGGCCTTTATTCAGGACAGCACTTAAGCGTATGGTGAACTTGTCTGAATTGCTGAAGTCTGATTTGAAGTGTCCAAGATTTAAGTACCTGAAGTTTAGCACATGCTTACGGGCTGTTCCCTGAGAAAAATGGACTTCCCTGTTGCCCACTCTCACAATTTCATCGTGTGTTTCCTAATCGTGGGTGTGTTTCTTGAAGCCCCTGGAGTCGTGGGGATGCGTGAGAGACCCTGATTCCAGCGAGAGTTGGCACCGCTATTAGTACGTCTCCACTGAGATCCGGAGGTGGTTTTGGCATACAGTCAAAGCTACCTGAGCTGCAATTGCTCCTCCTGAGTGCAGTGGAGACATGCCTTGTCATGGTGCTGCCTGGGATGTGGAACTTGCCAAAGAGGATTAAGTTACACCAAACTAAGTCCACTGTACTCCTGAATGAGAAGTGTCCACACCAAGGTGGGTTTAAAACACGTTAACTCAAGTATCTCATAGGGCTGGATGTTTTTTGTTGGGTGTTTTTTTCCCAACAAAAGTCCCACTGTAGTGTAAACGCTTTCACTGCTTTGTTGCCAAAAGGCAGGTTTTGATGACAAAACAGTGTCAGTGTAGACAATGCCTCAGTAACTCGTACCCTACAAAGTGTTACAACGTGCTTAAAGAAAAGGAGAGAAAAAAAAAGAAAGAAAAAAAGTAACGGAAGACTGACCCATCACTCAACTCTTTTTTTTTTCCAACAGCTAAAAAATAAATTCATAAAGAAGATCCCCAAAGACGCAGAAGCCTCCAATGTTCTGGTGGGAGAGGTGGATTTCCTGGATAAGCCATTTGTGGCATTCGTTCGGCTCATACAGTCCACTATGCTGGGCGGGGTGACGGAAGTTCCTGTCCCCACTAGGTGCGCAGCTGTTTAAACAAACAAAATGTGCTTTTGCAAGAACTGAAGAAAGGTATTGGTGGTTCGGAACTGGGTTTTAGCTGTAAACTCTCATGTAAACCTGATGTGGTAGAGCACACCTTTCCTTCCAGGTTTGGTGGGACAATATTTTCTTCCTCTGCCTCGGGATGGCTACAGATTCCTAAGGGGTCTAATTAATGCTGTGTGGCTAATGGACTTTGGGATTCACTGGCCCTCTTGAAAAATTGAGGATAAAAAATGTTGTGGGTCTACCCAAAATGAACTTTTCTAAAAATTTTCAGTGAACCAGCACGTTAAAAAGTAAATACAGTAAAACTCCAATAGTCCGGCATCCAGTAGTCCGGCACCAAAATGGCAAGAGCCTAGTGAGTGAGCTTCGGCAAAAAATGAGTCACAAGGTAACAGTGGCAGCAGCTGAACTGAGCAAACAGGGTAAAAAAGGGTTAAAAAAACTAAAACATTACAGTATATTGTATACAGTATGTACAATAAAAGGGGTTAAGAGCACTTTATATACAGTATATATATAACCATCTTATAGTACCTCCTGATACTCCGGCATATCTGATAATCCGGCACCACCTAGGTCCCAAAGGTTCCGGATTATCGGAAGTCTACTGTAAAATAGTTTTGGGCCAAACATATCACATTTTATTTGACCTGACACAAAACATTTCATTTTGATTGGCTGTGGTTTTTCAAACCATTTCAATGTTTGAAATAAAATTGGAGAGTATGTCAAAGCAAACTATCATTTCAAATGGAGAAGAGATTTTTTTTTTAATATTTCAGTGGCTTATTTTAGAATTTTGGGCAGAGGGAGGTCCCCCAAATGAACTATTCAAGAAAACTGACATGAACTGGCAACATGTTTGTGTCACCAAATCTGCATTTTTCCACAAAGAAGTTTTAGTAAAAAAAAAACTTGCCCAGATCTAGCAGGATAACAAGTTACCTTCCGAATTAGCTGGGACATCATTTTCTTCCCTTGTCTCAGGAGGCTAAGGATTCCTAAGGTCTAATGCATCATTCAAACAGCTTCCTAATGATAGGGGGCAGCCAAATCTGACATGCACTGCAGAAAGATTAGAGCTGTTATTAACTTTTTTCTTTTCAGCATTTGATGGGTAATTTGGGAAGCAGAATTCTTGGGTTCCAGCTCTGCCACTGGCTCGGTGTGTGAATCCCCTTTCCTGCTCCATGCCTCAGTTTCCCCATGTGTAAAATGGGGCTAATAATACTGGCCTTGAGTGCTTTGATAATGACAAATGAAAAGAGCGTGGTGGATGAAAGGGAGCAGCACAAAGCATCTTCGCCACTTAGCTGCTGCTTACACTCTTCAACTAGTAGTCTGCAGATTTCTGGGTCTGCTTTGCTCAGGGGCTTAGAATATTCTGCAGGTCCTCTTGTCCAGCCCTGCTCACCTCTGTACATCAGTGCCCAGAAAGATGGAGATGCACAATGGAGGTGTCTCTGAACTCTGAGGTTGGCTCTCACGCAGCCTTGTGCTGGCCCCCTGGAACGGGGGTGAGTTTCACTTGTGATTACGATTCCAAAGTGTTCTTCAATTCAGATGGTCGAGGCAGCTTATTATGTAGCTTGCTTACTGGCAATGTTAATTTCTTCCTAATTGTCTCTTCTGACAGTAAACTTGAATTTGCAATTAGGTGCCCTCAGTGGAGAGGATCCCAGGAAACACATCTGCCAATATTGCATCAGATACAGTATAGGGCATTTAAATGCCGCTCTGGAGTAGTAAAGCTTAGCAGTATGGTTCTGGATGCACCCACATGTTTATATTATATTGATGTAATATGTAGTATTTTCTTAACTATTATTTTAAATATCTAAGTACTTTAATTGATTTCTTTAATTTTTTTTTAAATTTTAACCCAGAGACCTGTTTGGTGGAGCCAAAGAGGAGACATTGCCCACTGGCTAGACATTAGTTTAGGACTTAAGTAACTTGGATTCTGTTCCCTGCTCTAGCCTCTGTTTCCTATGTGAGCTTGAGCACATCAATTGGATTGCCTGGGTGTAATTCCCCATCAGTAAAGTGGGGACAATAAGACTTCACTCTTTCTCAGTGGTGTTGTGAGGATAAATCCAATAAAGGTTGTGAGGCACCTGGAGAGTAATGAGGCTAGATGGACTCAAGATAGTAAGTGTTGCACATGCTCCCGTCCCCTGGTGGTGTTTTCAGGATCTGCTCAAGAAGAGCAGATCACATTTTGGGTGCCCAGAATTGCCTCCTTGAGACTTTTAAAAAATATTTCCAAAAGCCACCAATGAAACACAGGCAAATATTTAGTCCCATTCCCGGCCACAAACTCCTAGGTACCAGATCTGGCTCGCGTTGCCCAGACTACATACAGCAGCAATGGGAGAATGCTCCGGGGAGAGATTTTCAGAAACTCTCCATGATGGCCTAATTCTGCTCCCGTTCATGTCAGTGGGAATTTTCACAATGTCGGTAGTGGGAGCAAAGTTGAGCCAGTTCTGAGAGCTTTCAAAAAGCTCAGCTTTTGGATAGTGATGGGGAAGACTCAGTTGTTCCCATTTGGAGAGCCTGCCTCTTCGTCTCCAAACTGCCTGGGGTGCCTGGAACGGAGGGGCTGGAGGTTCTGCTTCTCCCTCTGGCTTGAAGTGGTTTCCATCACATGAAGGGTTTGCAGTTCAGATCAGTGAGTCTCAGCACCCTCACCATTAGGGTTTCCAGATACTTTCACAAAAAAATACTGAATATGGTGGGGAAAAAATTGGTTGGGGGGGGGGAGGAAAGGAACCAAACTTGTTTAGCAAAAAAAAAAAACACCGGGGGACTGAAGATGAGCAAAAAAAAAGAGTCACTGCGCCTTTAAATCCCCCTGCTCACTCCCACCCCAGTCAAACGCAGCAGGGGAAGAATGTCCCAAGTGACCTTCCGCCCAAGAAAAACAGAAAATACCGGACTGTCCGAGCCAATACCAGACACCTGGCAACCCTACTCACCATACAAATTGTTCCATCTTCAGTCTGTCAAATGTCACTGGGGTTCTTGTGAGCACAGGAATTTCAGTGCTTATGAGTATTGGAAGTTTTCTGTGTTTCAGTGACCATCCACTACTTGTGGGGATGAAAGCCCTTGTGTAGCTGTAACCACAACTCTGGTTGTGTTATTTGTGGGATTTAACCTAGGCCCGCTGGGTCTACAACCCTCTTGTAATAAAGGACCAGATGCATTAACTCAAAAGCAGTAGCAGGCTCCTTAAATGTTCTGTGCTTCCTAACCATTAGAACAGGACAAAGAGCGAGGCTGCGTTTGTGTGGGTTGACATGCAAACTAAATCTCCTGTGAACTCAATGGAGGAGACTGGTGTTCCCTGTAAGCTGAGTGCTTGGGTGGCCGCCCAGAAGAGATTCAGCTGCCACCCAGCTGAATGGCAGAGCGCTTATAGCTGGCAGCAGGTTTTTCCATTGGTGGTGCACCTGCGCACATGCCTTGGTGCACATAACAAAATTTATTCTGCCCATGGATGGAAAAAATTAGAGGGAACACTGGAGGAGACCCCACACACCCCTTGGGTTGCTGTGGGAGGAGTTGGATTAGGTCCTTATCTGAGAGAAACAGCTGGTGAAAATCAAAGGGTCTAATCTTGCATTTCTTTAGTGGTTAAACTTAGTGTTTAGGTAACTGCTTGCGTAGGCGCCCAGGACCTCTTGGGCCATGGAGATCAGTCCCCTGCTACTGCGGGTGGCCTTGTCATGTAATACTGCTTGTAACTTTATCAAGCTCCATAACTAGCTAGATTGTTTCATTGCCCCAGCGCTCCTATTAGGAGGAGCTATTACCAAATAGCCTTAGACCAGATCCTTCATACTGGCAAGTGTTGTAATTCAAACCACAGACTGCAAATATCGCCGTGAGCGCATGAGTTTTGTCCTTTTACTAGGTTCCTTTTTATTCTCCTGGGTCCTTCGGGAAAAGCAAAATCCTACAACGAAATCGGCCGAGCCATCGCCACACTTATGGTAGATGATGTAAGTAAATCTGATGATATGACAGGGCCCTTCTCCTGTAGCATCCCCTTCCCATGCATGCCGTCCATCCGTTCACAGAGCTCCCAAAGGTGAAATGAGACATCCCATCCCATCCGAGCGCCATGCCCAGAACAAAACCCATAAGATCAGTCTGACTGGTACTCTAAACATCGGAGCAATTCCATGGAAGTCCGTCACTCTGCATCAGCTGAGGGATCAGCTCATAGGAATAAAGTTAAAATATTGTAACAAGGTGTGTGTGAGCACATGCCTGTCCACCACTGCCCTGCCCCGGAGAGCTGTGTGTCATAGGCTCCATATTACCAGCACTCAGCTCCTAGTCTACACTAGGGAGTTATTTTGAAATAGCCCTCCTTATTTCAAAATAACAAGCAGAGCGTCCACACTACCAAGCCTGTCGTTTCGAAATAAAAGGTTGGTTATTTTGAAATCTGCACTCCTGCTTTCCTCGGGGAATAATGCTTATGCCGAAATAGCGGTAGTGTGGATGCTCTGCTGCTGCTATTTTTAAATAACTACTCCCCAGACTCATTCGAAGTAATTACTCCCCAGTGCTTCCTGGGTACCACATCCACAGTATGGAGTCTGCTTCGGACTAAGTTTGAGGCTCCGCCATCGTGTGGACATGTTATTTCGATTTTGTTATTTCGGGAGTTATTATTTTGAATTTAGTGATTTCAAAATAATTTCCTAGTGTAGACTTGCCCTTAGCAAAGACGTTTCTTTTGGCCCAAGGACAGGGAATTGGGCTTTTGGAGTACGAGGTTCTGTGTGCTATCCTAGATAATGGGTGACATTCCAGATAGCCACTGCGAGCAGCAAAGAGACAATCACAAAGTCCTGGCTAGCCATGAATTCATTCAAATACAAGCACAAATTTTCAAAATCTATGATCTAGAAAGCGCATTGTGGAGAGAGGTAGATGAAGCCTGACCCTCCTCTTCCCCCAGCAGAACTGGTTCGTCCATTTCTCCTACTTCTAGCTAACCGTTTGCTTAAATTGTTTGTCTTCTCTGTGTACGCCCAGCTTTTCAGTGATGTGGCCTACAAAGCCAGGGACCGTGATGACCTGATTGCAGGAATAGATGAGTTTTTGGATGAAGTCATTGTCCTCCCGCCGGGGGAGTGGGATCCAAATATTAGAATAGAGCCACCCAAAAAAATTCCTTCTGCTGATAAGAGGTAGGTGGTGATAATCGTGGTGCAGTTGATAGCATATTGGACTAGGCAGAAGATCAGCATGTCGAATGCTAGGGGCTGGGAGAGATCTCTGTCCACCATGGGGGTTTTGCGGGGGAAGGGGTTTGATGTTTCATATTTTTAAAATGGTTTTCTCAAGAAAATCCAAAAGTGGACTTTGTGATTCTTCAGTATGCAGTATGTCTGCCTCGCCGCTCGTCCTGGCAGATGGGGCAGCGTGGCTTACACAGCAGGGCTTAACTCGTAATAAGCGATGCAAATTGAGTGACGTCAGTCGCGTAGCTAATTTTGAAATAGGGAGCATCTACACAGCACTTATTTCAAAATCGAACACTCTTCCTCCAAATTCCCTTACTCCTCATACCATGAGGGTTACAGGAGTCGGAGTAAGAAGTCCTCCAGCTGGACAGTATTTCGACATTATTTCGAAATCACTGCTTACTGTGTAGATGCAGACTAAGTTATTTCAAAATAACATTGCTGTGTAGACATACCTTTACAGTGACTGTTTATGGATCACTGGAAGCAATTTCTACACACATCATCTATAATGCTCCAAGGGGATGTGACGATTCGTGTAAATCGATAAATGAACTTTACTATTAAAGGAAATAGCGGGCACCACGGAACAGTTGGCATAAAACCCAAGGCTCCTGCGCAGCCTTGTGTTGACCAGGCTGTGCAGGAATCTGTCCTCTCCGGTTCAGACCAGAGGCCCCGTTCTGTACTTCACTCTGGAACGAGGAGACAGAGCCCTCAAGTGTGGTCTAGTGGACAGAACACGGCACTGAGACTTAGGGGGTCTGGGATGTAGTCCTGGCTCTGCTACTGGTGTGTTGTGTGACCTTGGGCAAGTCAACGGGCCTTGCTTTCCCCATTGGTAGAGTGGAGCTGGCACTGGGAAGCACTTTGAGATGAGCCAGGTGTTTTTACTTATTTTTGGAAGCCCTAAGTTATCCTAAAGACAAAGCTGACCAAAATGCTGCCACAGACGCGGCGGTGCTAAAGGGAGGAGTCAAGACGTCCGGAAGTCCTGATTCTTGCACGACCTTGGGGAAGTTGCTGCAGTTGTCCCCGTCTGCAAAGAGAAGTTAGTTATGAGCAACCCCTCAGGGTACAGGGAGGCTGAATTGCGGGTGGCAAAGTGCTTTGAGAGGAAGAGGCTTCTGAAGCGCCGTCAGGGCTGGCCTTACCCATATGCAGAATGTGCAGCTGTGCAGGGCACCTAAAAATGTGGGGCACCGCTGGGTCTTCACGTCCACCCACCCGCCTCTTCCCTTCCCTGCTCTCTGGCTCTGCCTCCCCCGGAGAGGATCTAGTTCACTTACATGAGACAAAGCCAGCCAGAGCTATTAGCAGAGCACTGGGCCTGGGAAAGAGCCCGTCAAGTGGCATTGAAGCCATTTCACAGGCATTGGCCAACCCCAGTGTCTGAATTTACTGGGCTCGTCCACAGGACCTGAGTTTAAAATTCGCTTTTAAACTGTGTCGCTCATGTGTTGCTGAAGATAATAAGATCCCAGCTCTACAAGACCTCCTCCCCCCGCCCGGTTTGATAGACCTTGTAGGGCCCCAGACATCCTGAGGACTGCTCTTCCGCTCATGCCCCAACGTCTCTCTCAGGAAATCAGTGTTCTCGCTGAACGAAGCAGGGCAGATGAACGGCGCCGCGGGAGGAGCGGCAGGAGGGGGCGGTGGAGGCGGCGGGGGCGGCAGTGATGACGGGGAAATGCCGGCTGTGCATGAAATTGGGGAAGAGCTTGTCTGGACAGGCAGGTAAGCAAAGCCTGGGGCCCCGAAACATTGTGTGGTGCACTGGGGAGAGCGCTCCATGGTGCCGGCCTGGCACCTGTGCTTTGGGACAGTCGGCCCTCAGAAATCTTCTACAACCTCCTGCTCCTTCTGGCCTGCCATCTTCCCTTCCCCTTCAAGGCTAAATGAAAGGCCTTGACTCACCCCGTTCCAGTGATAATGGTCCTAGTCCCCCCACCCCCTCCCACGCACACACACACTGTGCGGGAGGCCTCACTTGTGCTTTGTTTTACACAGACCCTTACAAAGGCGAAGGCCAGCACTGAGGGGTATCTGTGCAAGCATGTCTTTGCGTGTGCAAAATGGGGAGTTGCCCACCCAAAGGCTCGTGTGCATGCACAATCGCCAGTGCTTGCAGCTGAACGCCAAGAGCAAAACTCGCCTGACCTGGTCTCCTGGCTAAATGCTGCCGGGACAAGGAGGAGCCAGTATCAGGCTAGGTTCTGCCCGCGGGTCAGCACAAGCCACATAAACAGCCATGCCGCTGAACACAGTCAGCGATGCATTTATACAACCTCTAGTCCAGCAGGGCCCTGATCCTTGCCTGGGGGGCTCCCTGGTGCTACATCAAGGCAAATAATAATAAGCTGCCTAGTTCCGCGCCCGGGATGACCACACCTGGGTCCCTTCTGCGTGTCTGTCTCCCCCAGGTTTTGCGGCGGCCTGTATTTGGATATCAAGAGGAAGCTGCCCTGGTTCCCCAGTGATTTCTACGAAGGCTTTCATATCCAGTCGATCTCCGCCATCCTCTTCATTTACCTGGGCTGCATCACAAATGCTATAACGTTTGGGGGGCTACTTGGTGACGCTACCGACAACTACCAGGTAAACCACAGAGCTGCCCTGGCATCTGCTCTCCCGAAGATGGTTAGAGCCGGGCCCCAGGCAGAAAGTTTGGCTGCAGGTGCCCCTGTGGACCGTAGCTGTGCCGCATTAGGAGACAGGGCTGCTCTTGGCTCTTGCCAACACAAGCTGCAGGTAGCAGGATTGGCAACAGGCGGACACAGACACACACATACAGCCCGGTGAAGCCTGAGGTGAGCTGCCTGTCCATGCAGCCAGGCCTCCTCCCTAACAAGCTAGGCAAATACCCTGGCCCTGTTGCTGGGGGAGGGTTCCTCAGCCTGACGGCAAGACGTGAGGGCCTGCGGGCTGCAAACCGCCACGCCTGAGCCCCACCGGCACCTCACAGAGCCACGAGTCTGGAATGACGTGGCTGCTTCTGCCAGTGGATTTCCAGCCTCTCGGTCATACGGCCCCGGTGCTCCGGGCGGTAATTCACCCAAAATACCCTGGCCCTGTTGCTGGGGGAGGGTTCCTCAGCCTGACGGCAAGACGTGAGGGCCTGCGGGCTGCAAACCGCCACGCCTGAGCCCCACCGGCACCTCACAGAGCCACGAGTCTGGAATGACGTGGCTGCTTCTGCCAGTGGATTTCCAGCCTCTCGGTCATACGGCCCCGGTGCTCCGGGCGGTAATTCACCCATGCCCATACGGCGTGTTATCGGCCCACCACGCCGAGCCATGTCTGGGGAAGCAGGGGGGTCCTTGCACTGCCTGAGTCCAGTCAGACACAGGCCGGCCGCAGGGGGAAGGCCTGGTGATTCAAAGGGGCCTGAAGCTACCAGCCGCCGCCACCGCCAA